AAACCAACCAACACAGTAACACCAACAGTAACACAACACGTAACACAACACAGTAACACCAACACAGTAACACAACACAGTAACCACAACACAGTAACAACACAGTAACGCAACACAGTAACCCCAACACAGTAACACCAACACGAACACAACACAGTAACACCAACACAGTAACACAACACAGTAACACAACACAGTAACACCAACACGGTTACACCAAGACAGTTACACAACACAACACCAACGCAATGCAACACAGTAACACAACACAGTAACACCAACACAGTAACACCAACTCACTAACACAACACAGTAACACACCACAGTAACCAACACAGTTACACCAACACAGTAACACCAACACAGTAACATAACACTAATTCCAACACAGTAAAACCAACACCACTAACCCAGTAACACAACACAGTAACACCAACACAGTAACACCAACACACTAACACAACACGTAACACAACACAGTAACACAACACAGTAACACAACACAGTAACACCAACACAGTAACGCAACACACTAACACAACACAGTAATACCATACAGTAACACCAACACAGTTACACAACGGTAACACCAACACAGTAACACCAACACAGTAACACAACACAGTAATACAACACAGTAACACCAACACAGTTACACAACACAGTAACACCAACACACTAACAACACACAGTAATACAAACAGTAACACCAACACAGTTACAGTAACACCAACACAGTAACTCCAACACAGTAACACCAACACAGTTACACCAACACAGTACCAACACAGTTACACCAACACTCTAACCAACACAGTAACACCAACACAGTAACACCAACACAGTAACACAACACTAATTCCAACACAGTAAAACCAACGCACTAACACAACACAGAAACGCAACACAGTAACACCAACACAACGCCAGTACACTAACAACACAGTAACACAACGTAACACCACACAGTAACACCAACCAGGCAACACCAACACAGTAACACAACGCTCCAACACAGTAACGCCAACACACTAACACAACCAGATAACACCAACGCAGTAACACCAACACAGTAACGCAACCACTAACACAACACAGTAACACCAACACAGTAACACAACACAGTAACCAACACAGTAACACAACACAGTAACACCAACACGCAACACAACGAAACCAACACAGTAACACACACAGTAACCCAACACACAATCACAACACTAACCAACACAGTAACACAACACAGTAACACCAACATAACAAACACAGTAACAACACAGTAACACCAACACAGTAACACAACACAGTAACACAACACGTAACAACACAGTAACACCACACAACACAGTAACAAACACCTAACCAACACAGTAACACCAACACAGTAACACCAACACAGTAACACCAACGATAACCTGTAACACAACACAGTAACACCAACAACACAACACAGTAACACCAACACAGTAACACCAACACAGTAACACAACACAGTAACACCAACCACAGTAACGCAACACTAACCACACAGTAACACAACACAGTAACACCAACACAGTAACACCAACACAGTAACACCAACACACTAACACAACACAGTAACACCAACACAGTAACACAACACAGTAACACAACACAGTAACACCAACAGTAACCAACACAGTTACACACGTAACACCAACACAGTAACACAACACAGTAACACCAACACAGTAACACCAACACAGTAACACCAACACACTGACACAACCAACGCACCACAGTAACACCAACACAGTTACCAACACAGTAACACCAACAGTAACACCAACACAGTAACACCAACACAGTTACACAACACAATCCAACACAGTAACACCAACACAGTAACACAACACAGTAACACAACACAGTAACACCAACACAGTAACGCAACACAGTAACACAACACAGTAACACCAACACAGTAACACCAACACAGTTACCACACAGTAACACCAACACAGTAACACCAACACAGTAACACAACACAGTAACACCAACACAGTAACACCAACACACTAACACAACACAGTAACACACCACAGTAACACCAACACAGTTACACAACACAGTAACACCACACAGTAACACATCACAGTAACACCAACACAGTAACCCAACACAGTTACACAACACAGTAACACCAACACAGTAACACCAACACAGTAACACAACACAGTAACACAACACAGTAACACCAACACAGTAACACAACACTAATTCAACACAGTAACACCAACACAGTAAAAATCAACACACTAACACAACACAGAAACACAACACAGTAACCAACACAGTAACACCATCACAGTAACACCAACACACTACCACAACACAAACGCAACACAGTAACACAACACAGTAACAACAGTAACACCAACACACTAACACAACACACTAACACAACACAGTAACACCAACACAGTTACTACCGTAACCCAACACAGTAACACCAACACAGTAACACCAACACACTAACACAACACAGTAACACCAACACAGTTACACAACACAGTAACACCAACGTAACACCAACACAGTAACGCAACACTAACACAACACAGTAACACCAACACAGTTACACAACACAGTAACACCAACACAGTAACACAACACTAATTCAACGCAGTAAAACCAACACACTAACACAACACAGTAACACCAACACAGTAACACCAACACAGTAACACCAACACACAAACACAACACAGTAACACAACACAGTAACACAACACAGTAACACCAACACAGTTACACAACACAGTAACACAACAGTAACACCAACACAGGTTACAACACAGTAAACCAACACACTAACACCAACACAGTAACACAACACAGTAACACCAACACAGTAACACCAACACACTGACACAACACAGTAACACACCACAGTAACACCAACACAGTTACACAACACAGTAACACCAACACAGTAACACAACACACTAACACAACACAGTAACACCAACACAGTTACACAACACAGTAACACCAACACAGTAACACAACACAGTAACACCAACACAGTAACACAACACAGTAACACCAACATACTAACACAACACAGGAACACCAACACAGTAACCAACACAGTAACACAACACTAACTCCAACACAGTAACACCAACACAGTAACATTGAGTAACACCAACACAGTAAAACCAACACACTAACACAACACAGTAACACAACACTAACTCCAACACAGTAACATCAACACACTAACACAACACAGTAACACCAACACAGTAACACAACACAGTAACACCAACACAGTAACACAACACAGTAACACCAACATACTAACACAACACAGGAACACCAACACAGTAACACAACACTAACTCCAACACAGTAACACCAACACAGTAACACCAACACAGTTACACAACACAGTAAAACCAACACACTAACACAACCAGTAACACAACACTAACTCCAACACAGCCAAACCCAACACAGTAACACAACACAGTAACACCAACACAGTAAAACCAACACACTAACACAACACAGTAACACAACACTAACCAACACAGTAACACCAACACACTAACAACAACACAGTAACACCAACACAGTAACACAACACAGTAACACCAACACAGTAACACCAACACAGTAACACCAACACACTAACACAACACAGGAACACCAACACAGTAACACAACACAGTAACACCAACACAGTAACACAACACTAACTCCAACACAGTAACACCAACACAGTAACACCAACACAGTAATACAACACAGTAACACAACACAGCAACAACACACTAACACAACACAGTAACACCAACACAGTAACACCAACACACTAACACAACATAGTAACACCAACACAGTAACACCAACACACTAACACACACAGGAACACCAACACAGTAACACAACACAGTAACACCAACACAGTAACACAACACTACCCAACACACTAACACAACACATAACACAACATAGTAACACCAACACAGTAACACAACACAGTAAACACCAACACAGTAACACAACACAGTAACACAACACAGTAACACCAACACACACACTACAGTAACACCAACACAGTAACACAACACAGTAACACCAACACAGTAACACCAACACAGTAACACCAACACACACAACACAGTAACACCAACACAGTAACACAACACAGTAACACAACACAGTAACACCAACACACTTACACAACACAGTAACACCAACACAGTAACACAACACAATACCACCAAAACTGTAACTCCAACACAGTAACACCAACACACTAACACAACCCAGTAACACCAAGACACCAATATCAATACTGTATAGAGGTGGATAAGAAGTAGCTATGTCCAGTGTGTGTGTGTGAATATTTTGCTTTGGGAGCTAATGCAGTGGAGTTACGTATTCAGTGTTTCTTTTTTATAAATCCATCAACAAATGAGATTTTCTGAGTAAATTGGCGCTGGAGTATTGTAACTTAAATCAGAGAGGGTGTTCATACTTCATGCAAGTAGTGTTGTGATGACTAAAGGCAAATTACTTCAGCAGAAAGCCACGTTGACTTAGATAAGATGTTTAACTCAGAAGTGTATTGTTGATGCATATTGCATATTAACATGAATGTAAGTGAAAGAAGGTTCTCTTAGCCTGAGGAAAATGTTGTATCCACTCGGCCACCTGAACCTACTGTGTCTATATTAAACCAGTATGTGTTTTCTATAACTGGACGACATCAGTCAGTATCTTGATCAGATACATGGAACCATTATCGTCAAGGGTTGTATCAACATGTTTGTCATACTGTTAAATAATTATTTGACAAGTGTGTTAACTTATGCCAGGACGCCTCTGTCTCATTAGGTCTTTTTTTTTATATCCTCTCTGTCTGTCTGTCTATTATGTGTATACGATGCAATGATATCAATCCCTGACTCACACCTCGTGACACAGGAGTTAGAGTAGGAGGAGAAGGAGGTCGACGTACGTACGTGTATTGTGGTACAACGGAGGTGGAGGCCTGTTAGGTCAGTCCGTCTCAGCACTGGGTCACCTATCACTCCCCACACCACGCCGAAAGTCACCTCCTTGGCCTCTGCTCTCTCTCCTGACCCAAGGGAACTTTTGAACTCCTCCCAGGCTCTCTTGACGTGCCTCCTCGTTCTTTGGGTGCCCTTCGCCTCATCCAAACTGGACTTTCCTAACGACGGGGCTCTAAGGGACCACTGGCCGGACGGGAGGATCTCTTTCTTCATGGTGGGGGAGACCTGATACATTTGTGACAACGAGGCGTATGTTGTCCCCTCAGAATACGTGGCCACAGTCACCTGTTGGTAAAAGCTGTGTACAGTATACACCAGCTGTGATTATCAAGAGATTACGAGTTTGTATACTTGTATAATAATGTCTTAATACATAACCCAATGCTCTACTGTGAAAACAATACTTTTATTTTTTACGGGGAATAGCCCAACCGGGCACAGGTCATCGACCTGTGCGAAAAAGTAAGAGTAAAAATTTATTTAAAATAGAAGAGAAAAAAACTGCACCACGAAGTTGCCGGAAAACCATCTTTTTGAAGTGAGACAGATTGTATGAGTATGTGTGAGGAAAGAAGGATGTACTGTAACGGGTTATTCTAGTGTGACCGACATCCACACTTAGAAATGTTGGGCACCGCGGGCAAGACGAGTGTTACGAGCCCACGGCCTTTCCGGCGATACACAGGATGCCAAATCCACCGAACATTGCCCGTTAAAGTACCCGTAAAAGAGAGAGTGAAACAACATTGCGGCGAAAAGAACTGGAAGAGAGATTAACACCTAAAGTAGGAGAGTTAGTTAGACGAAATGCCTTTGACTCTACCCTATCTAACAGATGGATAAACTGTAAAAGAACCACCCCAGATATGAGAGCAGTTCTCCAAGTTAGGACGAATGAATCCCTTATAAACTTGAAGCAACTGTTCAGGAGTGAAATAGCTACGGTATCTGTACAACATTTCCAACTTTCGGAAGGCAGCTTTAGCAATGTTGTGGATGTGTGGCTTCCATGACATATTAGAGGAAATGGTGAAGCCTAGCATATCTACTTTAGAATTTGGCAGATTGATTGCGTCCTTAAATGTGATTGGTGGGAGATCTATTTTGGAAAGTGTAATTGGTAAATACTGTGTTTTATTAGTATTGAATTTAACTAAGTTTCTACCTCCCCATTCGGAGATGCTGCACAGATCCGCATTGATAGATGAAATGATATCAGCTCAAGAAACAAATCTAGTTTGAGAATTAGTAGGAAGGGAAAAATTTGAAGAAGAGTGAAGAGTAGAATCATCAGCGTAAGAATGGATAGAATTAGTCGTATTGTGAAGTAAATCATTGATAAAAAGAACGAAGAAAGTAGGTGAAAGAACAGAGCCCTGTGACAACAACTGGTTATCAGAGTTTCGGTATGTTTATGTTTTATTCACAGTTGCCTTTCGAATTATTCACCCGAGGACAGTATGACTGCCTTCTTAACATAATTGGGACTCAACATGACTGAAAGTAGAGTCTCATGGTAATGTGTAAATATATCATGGAATAACTGTTTAAAGATGTACGAGTAAGTGGGAGTCGGGAACGAATTGGAGAGTGTTCGTGTCGAGTTGAGGAGATGTAGCGTGTGTTAATTATTTTTATCAAAGAAAAAAAGAAGAAGAAAATTACGAAACTTGCAATTACTTTGATTATTTTGCTGGTTTTATCGACCTTGGGAAGAGGTTGTCTTCAACACACGGTAACAGTCAGAAATCTGCAATTTACGTTAAAAACTTATAATTATTATTACGTAACAACAATGGGCCCACAGTGTACGAGTATATGAAAGCCTTTTAGCCTAAAATGATAACTGAAACCTTGACAGTGGGCAAGATTATGTGGGGTAAAAGGACATACGAGTATGTGGCATTAGTGATGGATCAGATGTCAGACTCCTCACATCCACGGATGCAGATGTTAAAATTTTGTGAATAAGAATCACAGTAGCGGAAAATTGTCATTGCAGGTCTGTGAGTGAGTTACTCTTTGGGGTTGTGACCATTATAACTTATTGTAAGTCGTTGTATCAAGTTGTACTGATCCTTGTTGAGGGATGGAAATGTCCACTATCTCTTGTGTTAATGTTTATGGAATTTTGGTTTAAATATCAATAAAGTTGTATATAATTAGAGTAATGAAAGCAGAACCGTGGCCTCATTTATGAATGTTGTTTCAGGGAGGATGGTTCCTGACCCAAGACATGACAGGTGATGCCAAGGATTCATCTACCACCAGGCAAGGTGAGTACTACTTCCGCCGCTCTTATTATGACACCATGGACAAGAGTTTTTACTGGTTTTTGTTGTTAACTAAATACATCGCATCATGGTTATTCCTGTTAGTTGTAGAGCACAAGTGTTTGTTAAAGTTAAGGAGAAGGTCGCCATTTTATATTATTTTATTTTTTATTTTTATTTTTTGTGGGGGACAGAATGTTTTCGGACGCGTTTGTTGTAATGCATAAATGCTTATCTAATAGGAGAGAAAGAACAATATAGGAATGTTAAATATATTCAGTTTTACTTCAGAACTTTAATACCTTGTCATTAAAACTGCTTCAGGAAGGCTGAAGGTCTTAACCACTAATGATGGCTTTCGTAAGAACACTTCTAAAGGTACTACTGAAGGTGCATGGGTATTATTTAATCCTCTCCCACTATTAAACATTTTTAATTTAAAACAAACATCCTTGAGATGCTGCCACTATATAATGTGGTATAAGTGGCGGCTTTCTCCTTAACCTTTACGAAATCATTTAGATGAGTAAAGCGGGATGGAAGGTTAATCTGATTCTTTTTTTCAGGTTAGTGAATGTTTACAGCTCCTCGAGGGACCGTAAAACCACAACACATGACGCTTCAGGTTTGTCCAAGTCAGTTTTATATCAGATATCGTTGTTTTTGTATTTGTCTGTGAGTCGCGCGTCTGCTAACTTAGTAAGTCTCCGTTACCTCCCGCGTTGAAGATCGGGATCAGGTTTACTGTACAAAGTCACTCGGGAAATTTTCTTGATCACGGTGGTTTTCTCGACAGTGACTTTCGTATATGATTAACTCAATCAACTTCCGGAACTTTGAATTCCTTTACGTCTTTATTACGTGATCTTTTAAGTCATTTTCCATTCCAGCATCATGTATCCTCTTAGAATTGACATGTCCCTTTGTTTCTTGTGATTACCAAGGTCGGGTCCAGAGTGTATCACAATATGCAAAAGTCATTTTTCATTGTACTTTTCGCAATACGGAACTGAATCTGCATTCAGTCAGACCTGAGTGATTCTTCCCGGAACGAGGAAGGCGTCTCTTAGTTATCTGGTTCTTCCTTTAAGACATCCTTCCAGTCTTCCTCTCTCATGCGCTGGCAGTTATTTGAAAGAAACACAATATGTCTACTTGAATGTTGTGTAAAATATGGAGGTCCCTGGCAGGACCAAATTGTTCTACAATGTTGTCTTGTTCGCCATAGGTTCACAGCTAATGACGAAAACTTAATATTTTTTTTATTACTAGACTTTGAAAGCACATGGCTGCATCTTCTTACACCTATCGATTTTGTTTACCGCCTATGAGCAGATAACATAAAGTTACAGGTGGAAAATGACAGTTATCACTCCTGGGATGTTTACATTAAATAACTTTTTGGGGTAGACAAAGTCTCTTCAAGTCTTTAGAAAGGTCGCCGGCTCACCCTCAGGGCATCCCTAGTTCAATTACTTTTTTTTTTTAGTTCCTAACTTTACAGTTAAGAAAAGTGAAGATAATAGAGTGCAGTTAACACTGCCATATCTCGAGGCCAGTGTATATTTTCACCTACCATTTTACATTGATTAATAGTGAGGGGCGTAGCACAGCCACTTACTTACCTTATTGTCGAGTGGCAGGTACAGCTGGTTGAGCCACTGCACCAGTTGGCTCTCCGGCATTAACAGAAGCCAGCTGCACCATTCACACACGCTCGGGAACACCTGCATCACAAGATACAAGGTTGACTACCTGCAGGTGATTGATTAAACGCTAAACACCCTTGTTATTGTCAAGTTCTTTATGGAGTTTAGTGGGTAAGAAGATAGATTGATAGAATAAAAATAATTTTATGAAATTACGTTGACGAAGATGTGGACGTCTTCCTCTGACTCCAGGTGAAACACTACCAGCATATAGGAGGCTGTGGGGGCTTGGCTTATGTTACCACCCCCACTCCACCGGTGTTCATTATCCTTCTCGTTATAATCCAATTCGATCTCGAACCCCTGCTTTGTCCCGTCTACCAGGTCAACCTTGTTTACCAGGTGATGGACGGGGGTGACAGACAGGTAGGCGTGTGTGTACCTGGCCAGTCTACGGTAGGTTAGTCTCACCCAGGGGCTTCTGTCTCCTGCGGGTGTGAAAGATTGATGAGTGAAGACCTATATATGAAACACACACACACACACACACACACACACACACACACACACACACACACACACACACACATAAGAACATAAGAATGGAGGAAACTGCAGCGGGCCTATTGGCCCATACTGGGCAGTCCCGTTTACACCCAACCCCTATTGCTCATATAAGCATCCAACCTAAGTTTGAAGCTATTCAGCGTATTCGAGTTAATGATGATATTTGGTAACTTGTTCCATTCATCCACTACTCTGTTTCCAAACCAGTGTTAACCTATTTCACTCCTAAATCTAAATTTGTCTAATTTAAAACCATTGTTACGAGTTCGCTCCTGGTTGGATAGTTTGAGTACCTTTGTAATGTCCCCTTTGCTTAGCCCTGACTTCCACTTATACACCCCTATCAGGTCGCCCCTCGCTCTACGTCTCTCGAGGGAGTGCAAATTAAGATGCTTTAACCTGTCTCTATACTCAAGGTTCCTAATGCCCGGGATTAGTCTTGTCATTCTCCTCTGAATTCTTTCCAATGATTCTATATCCATCCTGTAATACTGTGACCAGAACTGAACTGCGTAATCCAGGTGTGGTCTCACAAGAGCAGGATACAGTTTTAGGATGACCTCGCTAGTCTTGTAACTAACACTCCTTTGTATGAACTGTTACGACCGTGTCGTATTTTTTCTATTTTTGTTTATATATAACATGCTCCCATGTTCCATATTATTCCTGTAATGATGTGTTAAATTTACTATTATATATTCTAGTCACCTTACCCTGTGCTGTTAAGGTTTTAACTGTCATTATTTGTTCAAGCCCATCTTATTTCTTTATTTTGTATTGTAACCAGCATTCTTTGTTCTCTAACGACCATCTGCATCGTTAAACGACCCACCGGCGGGTCGCGTGGCGGGAGCCGACCTTATATATAGGACTCACCAACTGACTTGAGTCAGTTCAGTCCTCTTGTCATACAGTCCACATCCTTTGAGTGTCACTTGTTACTTATACTTAATTTATTTGTGTTGTTCCTGTCGCCACCAATGTGGTATATCTATGTGAGTACCTATTTATGTCTGTTTGTGTCCATCAGTATTTGCTTAGTTGTATTCAAGTAATTCAGTGTTGTTTCACGTTAGTTAATTTCAGTGATAGTTTTTATATGTTTATGCAGTGTTAACGTAATCCAATGCTTTATTTTTATTCTTTCGATGTTTCGATGTTTTGTATCATTTGTGTCTTAAAAGTTTCGATGGTGAATCAATTTGTTGTGACAGCCCACGAGGCTCTTTATTGTGTTAATATTTAATCAATTAAATTCTTAAAGGTTTACTTTATTTATTTTTATTCTCTTATAATTTACTTCACTTTTTGTTTGGTTACGCCTAGAACCTGGATATTTAAGTAAATTAAGAGACGGCTTAACAGAACCCAAGTACTTTATTAGCCTTGTTACGAGCAAAAACACATTGTTTACTTGGCTTGAGGTTCCTACTTATCATTACTCCTAACTCTCTCTCGCAGTCGGATTTCTCTATGGCATCGTTGTTCATCTGGTATCTGGTTTCCCTGTTTACATCTCCTATACTGAGTACTTTACATTTGTCCACGTTGAATTTCATCTGCCATTTTTCAGACCATTCGAAAAATTTGTTTAGATCTTCCTGTAGTTTTGCTGAGTCCTCGTCAGATTTAATAACACGTCCTATTTTAGTGTCATCAGCAAATTTACTTATGTTGCTGTCTATGCCGATATCTATGTCGTTTATGTATATAATAAATAATAATGGTCCAAGTACTGAGCCTTGGGGAACTCCACTTGTGACGTTGCTCCAATGGGACTTCGTGCCGTTAATGCTCACTCACTGTTTCCTGTCCTGTAACCACGCCCTAATCCACACACACACACACACGACAAATCTACTTAACATCAACACCAGGTGATGACGACACCTTAAATCATAACATGTTTACCACCATGATTGATGACGCTGGCTGAAGGTGGCAACTAGTCATCACTTAACATCAATTACCCGAATCTGTTTGATGAAATAAATTCTTCTGTCAATTTTGGTATATTTATTGTCATAATTATCTGCGGATTGAACGATTTAGCTTAAGTGAGACAGATGGACGTGTTTAACTCTGTCTTCACCTTACAGACACACTCAGTATATTGGTTCTATTGGGAAGTTGAAAGAGACGCCGTTGGTGATATTCTCAGTGGTTCAAGGTCCAGATATGGCTCATATTAACTCCATATCTGCGTCGTAAGTTAAGTGAGGCAGTTAAATAAATTCTCTTATCTTCAGTTACTGAGATACAATGGTTAATATCCATCATCCCTCAAGAGGCTTATTATAGTGTTGTGTTGTGTTATAGTTAAGAGGCTAGTCTATGTGTCCCTCTGTCAGGAGGTTTACAGAGGTCATTATGTATGTGGGTGTGTTACGGACGCTTAACAGAGGCCAGTATGTGTCATTGTGTTACAGAGGCCAGTCTATGTGTCACGGAAGGTTTACAGTGGCCCCAGAACGTCCTCTGAACAAGACACATCAGTCAGTGACTGCTGAGTGACAGAAAGGTTGTAATATTGATTATAATTAGATTCCCATTTATATTCTGGGAGAAGGTCACAACCACCTCCTGTTATTATTTATACATGTGTAGCGAACCTGTTGTATCGACACATAGCAAGAAGCAGTAATTACGTTTCATATCTCAGTAGCATCGTCTTCCGATCACCAGTCATTGTAGATTCTGGTATAAATTTTCTATAGGTGAATGGAAGCAAAAAATGGCTGGAAGATATTTAGGATCCAATATGTTACATTATGTCTTACGGTACAATAGGCAAGCTTTTAATAAAGCACCCTTAATGGCACTGAACCTTATTTTGATTTTGATTTTGCCGCTTACAGCGGCTACTTTATTGTGCACCCCACATTCATCCTGTGAGCGGTAGCGCAAAAGGATTACAGAGTAGAGTTTACAACGGGTCATAATTATTAACCCCCGTTGTCAGGATATTATGGCACTGAATGTTACAAAGTATTTCAATTACATTTTTGTTTAGTTCTATACATAAAGGGTAACTTATTCATAAATGCGTGAGTACAGGAGTGAGGTAGTATGTCTGACCGCACACTTTGTTATTCACATTTGCGTGAGAAGTATTCAAGCACATTGTGTATTTGATTCTATACATGAGAACTGATATAATTACTAAGTGCAAAAAAGTGGATACAATCTTAATATATCGGCTATCTTGCCATTAGAGATGAAGTGTTGTGCCATTTCACACACAGTGTGCTTGGACCTGTCCCTAAAAGGTTCTATCTTCACACAGTCGAGGACGTAGTGTTCAAGTGTGTGGCCATATGTATGGCCACACACTTTACATTTAGTCTTGTTTACATCTGCTTGAGGAACATACTGCCTGAGGTACTTATATCCTAACCTTAATCTAGCGGTTACAACATTTTGTAATCTTGTGATCGTGTTACTTGCTCCATATACATGTTTCACTTGATACATCTCATGGTAAACTATGGATCGACTAGTGCCTGTTTGCACTTGTCCACGCAAGTAGACAAGTGCACTGTACCTGGCCTTGGGGGGGGGGAGGGGGGTCCCTGCCGTGTATCATATAATAATATATATATACGTGATTAACATAGTAGGGGAGAGATTGTTCAATATTCTTCCATTTTTTCCAGTGTTAGTGAAGGGGTGCGGTGGCTGAGTGGATAGTAGCTCTCGCCTCCAGTGCCGAAGTATGGCTGGTTCGAATCCTGGCACCCCAAGTTAAAGACAGTTAAAATTGTACTGTCGTTCATGCTGGAAATGGAACCGATTCATATAATCTCAAACCACTTGTCTGATTGACTTGAAATTTTACTCATTATCTAATTACTGAAAAGAAAATCATTATAGAACAAAGGTACGAATTCTTCTATCACCCTTGACCTGACCTGACCTCTGTTAAACTGACATATTGTGATGGTGGAGAGTGTGTGGCCAGTGATGTGGTGGAGGATCGCGGTCTGGTTGTTCCCTGCTGTCTCAGCCACACTGTGACTCCCTCCCTAAAACCGACATTATTATTTCCTCTTTTCTAAAATCCCTCTTTCATTAATACGATTCTTCCTGTGGTCTTTTGTTTTTCTTTCCCATATTCTTTTCATTTCTTTATCCTCCTAGACTCTTTCTCCCCTTTTGTATCCTCTCATTCTTTTATGCTCCTGTTTCCTCTCATATGCTCTATTCTCTTGTATCGTACCTGTTCTATTTTCCCCCATGTCCTTTCCTATTCATTGTTCTAGTTTCCCTCTCGCCTCTCCCTCTCATCTCACTCACCAGACACGAGGAGCCAGACTCTCTGAGGTGCGTGGTACTGGACGTAATCCACCACGAGCTTGGAGTGAGTGTCTGCGTCTGGTGCAGGTGGGGAAGTCACGCCAGCTCCCAGTACACACCCCACCTGCACCATCACCGTCACCACAGTCACCATCATCACCATCTAACAGACTAATAACAATACTGTATATACTGTAGAAGAGAAGTAT